TATTCTGATTTCATTATCCCCTTCATGGATATACAGTTGCCCAACATTATTTCCTGGTAACTATCTTCTTTTCTTCCATGAGTTCTTCATGTTCTTGTCAAGAATGTGCTGAGCTCAATCTATATTCTTGTTTTTTGCTTTTGAATATATTCTATTGGCCAATGACTCGCACATGTAGCAGCACTCGGTTCAGATTACTATAAATTGTGGTGCAATTTGAAAACAAGAAATCTGATGTCTGCAGAACCTTCTACAAAGTTACCACAATTAGCAAATACTGAGTCACCCTTCCTAGGGATAATGGCTCCCATGAGCCTCTCTTTAACTTTCTTTCAACAGGTCAATACCTAACCTTGGACCAGGGAGATGACTCAGTCAGGCAAATCCTTGCCTTGCAAGCATGAGGACCTGAGTTTGATGTCTAGAACTCACACTAAAATGCCAAGTGTGGTGATGCTAAGCCCAGCACTGGGGTGGGGTGGGGTGGGGGTGGACAGGGGTTCCTAGAGCTAAACTGTAAGCCAGTCTAGCTTTTTCATGGGTTGCAGGCCAAGTGAAAAACCCTGTCTCAAAAATAATGTGAATGATATTTGAGGAATGACACTCAAGTTTAAATACTGCTCTCTCTCTCTCGCCACACACACACACACACACACACACACACGCACACGCACACACACACATGCAGATGCATCCCCTTCTGCATATAAACACCCTCCTCACACACACATTATCTAACCTTCCTTCATGTGTGTCTCTGTTGAGGGGTACCTTACTTGCCATATATGAAATTTATTAACATTAATTCCAGCCGTCTTCTCCCTTACTCATTCCGAAGTGAGTCCCATTCATTCCATACACTTCCTCTCAGGACTGTTACTGGGGACATGGCTTTGGAGAACTGATCAGCCACCAAACACCACCCTAGGGTGGACATGTTTAATAGTTAAAAAAACAATCAACCCGAAGCACAACTTTGCCAAATGCAAATGTGTTTGCAGGATCAATCCCTCAATCTCCCTTGCAGTCCAGATGTCAGGTGCTTCTATTGATTGCCACAAAATTCATGTTTGTGAATAAGCAGAAAGGAGATGGAAGTTTCGAATCTGAGGCTAACTAAATGTTAACAAGTATGTGAGCCTACAACGATAGAATTCACAAACAATGAATGCAATCTACATGAGATTTGCTAATGTTTTCTCCTTCACTGCGGCTTCAATCGTGAACCTCAAAGTGTACTTGTCATGGAGGAAAAAGGTGTTTAATTTTAATGAAATCAGATACACCCACGTCTGCTTTTATAGGCCACACTTTGGATTTAGAGCCTAAGAAGTCTTCTTAGTTCTGTATTTAGAACATATTTAAAGCCTTTCTATTTTTCTTAATGCGTCATAGGCTTGTATTATTAATTTTAATAGAAAACAATTCTTTCATACAATGTGTTTTTATTATGGTTCCCCTCTCTGACTCCTCCCAATTTCTCCTCCTCCCTCCCATCTGGATCTACTCCCTTTCTCTAACTAGAAAGAAAACAGACTTCTAAGGGAAAATATTAAAATATAATAGGATCAGACAAAGCTAAGCAAGTCAGAATAGGACAAAACAAACGAACAGAAGGAAAAGAACCCAAGAAAAAGCACAAGAAACAGAAAGAGATGAAGAGACACAATTGTTTGCACACTCGGGAGTTCCATAAAGACACAGAACAATAAAATTGAAAACCATAATAAATATGCAAAACCTGTGGGGTAATAAATTAAAGAAGTAAAAATTCTTTAAAATTAAAATTAAAGATAAGGCCCTGATATGACATTATAAGACAAGGAACCTCTAAAGGTGCCTTTGAGCTGAGTTTGTTTTCTGTTGGCCAACAACTGCTGGGCCTGCTGTCTACCATTAAGAGTAGTTTGCTTCCTCAGTGAGACTCTCTTGAATAAAACTAATTTTTCATTTGCAAGTGGTTAGCAAAATGTCTTCTGGCTTAGGGATGGGAGCATGTGTCCACATCTGCTTTTTACTCTATTACTACATCTGGTACAGACTTCTGCAGGCCCTGTACATGCTGCCTCAGTGTCTGTGAGTTCCATATTTGGAGGGTCTTGTTTTCTTGATGTCCTCCATATCCTCTGGTTCTTACACTTTTTCTGCCTCCTGCTTCCTCCTCAAGCTTCCCTGACTACTGAGTGACGGGATTTGATTGAGACAATCCATTTAGGGTTGAGTGTTCCTAGGTCTGGTTATGGGTCTCTGTATTTGTTCCCATCTGCTGTAGGAGGAAGCTTCTTCGATGATGGTTGAACAAAGTATTGATCTATGGGTAAAGCAGAATGTCACTAGCAATCATGTTATTGCTCTAGTCTCTTTGTAGAACAGTAGTATTTAGTTTTCCTCTAGGTCCTTGAGCTATTTAATCTCAGGTTCTTGGTCACCCACACAGTTTCAGGCATGAGTTTCATCTTATGGAGTGGGCCTAAAATCAGATATTGATTGGCTACCTCTACAGGCTTTATGCCACCATTGCACGGGGGTTTCTTGCATGTAGGACACCATTGTAGATAGAAGGATTTGTATCTGGGTTGGTGTTTACATTTTTTTGTAGTGTGTAGTATACTTTCTAGTACTAAGAGCAATAGCCAGTAGTGGTAAAGCCTCTGGGTAGGCTCCGGCTCTACTTCTCCATGTTAAATGAATTGTGTAGGTGGTGTCTTCATAGGTCTATATTTTTTCATTTAACTGCAAGACCAATTCGGGAAAAATTTTGGGTGGAGAACATTTTGAAAATATAAAATGTAACTTTAAATCCGAGGTTTGCTTATAATTATTGTTTTCTATGGGTGTTCAATTGCTTCAAGAAAACATGTTAATAAGATGCCTTTTCCCGCTTTGCACAGAATCTCTCTCTCTCTCTCTCTCTCTCTCTCTCTGTGTGTGTGTGTGTGTGTGTGTGTGTGTGTGTGTGTGTGTAAAACAATGATGGCATCATGAATTTAAAATGAGTTAGCGGGAGAATAGGAGGAGTTTGAGGGCATATAATGATACAAATATCTTATCTGTGCATGAAATTCTCAAAACAAACAAAACAAATTAAAACACCCACAAGTGTTGCTAGTGTATTTTTGACTTTGCTACCATGGAGTGGAGGTGGAATTCTAGGTTCCTATATAGTCTCCACTGAAATCAGAGTCATTACTATCTGCTAAAGATGAAAGTCTGGATCACAATGGAGATGAAAGTCTGCTCTCAGCTAACTCTCAAGGTGAAGTTTTGTTACAGCCTGGTAATTGTAACCTTTACAGTGGCTGGAGGTGCTGCCGTTTTCGGTGTTACTAGGAGAATGCAGAGAGCTGTTATCTATAAGTTTTTTGTTTTTGCAACATTCTTCCCTGTTTGTGTGTATGTGTGTATGTATGTGTGTGCATATATGTGTATAGGTGTTATGTGTGTATATATATATATATATTTGGTGTGTACATATATATGTGTGTGTATATGTGTTTATGTGTGTATGTCTGTATGTCTATATGCATGTGTGTATGTATATATGTGTGTATGTATGTGCATAGGTGTTATATGTGTGTGTGTGTGTGTGTGTGTGTGTGTGTTTGTGTGTCCAGGCATTAGTGTTTCTGGTTTGTTGGCTAAGACACCCCCCAATATCCTATTTAGGGCACAGGAGGTAAAAGCTGAAGGCAGTAAAGTTACTGTCTTCCTTCTCTCTGAGTTCCTGGCCTGTCTGTCTTCCCATCATTTCCTCCTTGTTCTTATTTTGTGCTGATAGAGTTTTACTTGTGCTTGGGGGAAAACAACCAGAAAAACATAAGCATTGACTGTCCTATCCTCTAAGGCAGACGTCATGCCAGATAGTTATCATTTTTCTTTCTTTCTTTCTTTCTTTCTTCCTTCCTTTCTTTCTTTCTTTCTTTCCTTCTTATTTATTAATTGTTTTCTATTTTCCCCTGAATTGGGGGCCTTATTTTGATATTCTTCTCATTTTACAGATATAAAGAAAGCTCAGAAAATTATGCAAAAGATTCAAAGTCACTCAGCTCGCACATGTCAGAGAAAGTTCATAAATTTACATGGTAGTCAGATTTAGCCAACTCAGAACTCTTACCCAGACTCCAGTCATATAGCCAGGGCCTGTGCTCTGAATGTCACATACCCTATGTTCATCATGTACCCATGAGAGTAACACCCGAGGCCTTTACCAGAAATATTCTGTTCTGTGAGTATTCCTGGTACCACTGACATAGTGGCACACAGCTTCCTAGCTAGGAGCACAGTGAGACACAGGACATTGACCTGTTCGTTGTCTATTTACTTCCATTTTACCTTCCTCATGGGTTTGAAAAGTGTGGAAGGAGAGGACAATTATGCCAGAAGTCGTCCCCAAGTATATATAAGCGAAAAAGGCATTAAAAGCAAGCACCACGGCAAACACAGGGAGAGGTTCCTAAGAGCATGGGAGCCTGTGTAGGAGTCCCGGATGTGGACATGATGAAAAGAAAATGCAGCAAGACAAATATGGTGGGGAACGTGGTTAGTGATAATATTCAGAAATGGCAGCCTGGCTTCTACACACCTCAGGGAAGTGTGTGGGTGAGGGCTGTGTGCCATGTTTTATAAGACAGCAAGTCAGTCTGTATCTGGATTTTCAGTCTTACATGTGCTGTCTTCCTGCGGCAGTTGATGTTTCTGAAGAAGCATGTTTTCATAAGACTGCCACATGGCTTACCTGTTCCTTTTCTGTATTGGCAATCACCTCCAACCTTTTTCAGTCTTGTGTGATCTCAAGTGATGCAATTTCCTGTCTCTCACCTTGTCCTGTCTCTTACCCTTTAATTGCTCCAATAAAATGCATTCTATTTTGCTTCCAGATGACTGCATTGTATCCAGGGCCTTTGATGGTTTCCTGTGTCTTTTCATGTCAAGTCTAGATAGCTTTAGAAGCCACACTAAGAAATCATGTTGTTATGGCTCTGTCTCTGCTCTTTTCTTAGGTATTATCAGATCCGAGTGACCTTGAAAGTGTCCTCAAGGATCCCCCACAGACTGAGTGCTTCCATCGTTGGGCAGTCCGGTGAGTAGAAAGCATGTCTCCTGCCTCATGGGTAACCCATCATGTGTTCCTGTGTGTCATGGTCTAGCAGAACACAGAGCAGAGAACACTGTCAACATCTGGACCAGTGGGTTCAGGAAAGGCAGACCCACTATTGGAAGTGGATTTGTGTAAACATTGTTGTTAAGGAGGGTTGGGCAAATAAAAATCACTCTTAGCAGTGGCTGATAGCTGGGGGAACTGTCTGCAGCAAGTTGACTAAAGTCACATCCTGGATTAAATGGTGAGAAATGACATTCAGCTGATAGGTAAGGAGAAGCTGGTTGCTATGGCTTCAGGGGACTGAGTAAGTAAACAGTTCTGCTGGTGCTTTCTAGGCAAATAGAGAGTCCGAATGCCATCACCCATTGTAAAAGGAGCATCACGGAAAATCCAGGTCCTAATTCTGAAGATCTAAGTGGAAATTCATGGCTTTGAGGAGCCAGTCTGAGAGAACACAGTGCGAAATAAAGAACCTCGTGGATAGGAAATACTTGTGGGAGACTATAGAGCAGAAGAACAGAGTAGTGCAGGAACAAATAGGGCAGAACCACACAGTCTAGTGAGTCTTAAAAGAAACGATTCGGTCTTCAGGGCAGAGAAAGAGAAAGGAAGGGGATGAACAGGACAACTGCCAAGCACCTGTTCACTGGCAGAAGTAAGAGTGACCCTGATTGTCAGAAACAAGGTGTAGAAGAACGCTGGTCCCAGCCACACTTTATAAAAACCCATTTGAAATGGGCAAAAGCGTCACGATGTGTCAAAATGTACACTTGAGATCTTATAAGTGAGAAGTGCAGACACAGAGTGAAGGCTTGTGATTGTTCCTCTAACTCCAGACCTATAAAGAGAAAGACTCGTTGAGCCACCTGCCCCTTCCACAAGTCTGAGCCTAGCAGGCAGGTATTAGTTATTGGTTGGGTCGCCATCTCTCATAGATACTTCTCTTCTTCATCCCCCTCTGTTGGGGGTGAGCAATGCATCTTAGGTGAGAAAAGAGACTGTATACTCTCACACAATCTATATGCCCCACAGTATAGATTCAGTGTAATTTTCCTCTTTTCCATCCTCTACTAGGTTCCCTCCTTCCCTGCCTCAGTCCACGGCATCCACTAAGGCAGCAGGATACGTGGACTCTGTTTTGGATAAACTCACTATATGGTCCTAAGGAAATGGTTAACACCTTTCTTCACTTGAAATAGGAAGACAAATGTTCACCCCATGGTGTCTTTCTCCTTTTCTGGAATTGATATACAACAGTTATGTCTTATTGAGGTGATAAATACCATTGTGTTGTGATGGGAACTGCCCTAAAGTAAGGGCCCAAGAGTCTGCCCTGGGAGAGGCTGTAAGTCAAAGTGATGACTCAAGGTCTCTTTCTTAGAGCCAAAGCAAGATTCTGGGGGACAGGTGACAGTGAGAGCTGGGTGATTGATGACAGCCATCTGCAGGCCAGTGTGCACTTGGTCTCTTTACTCTGAGATTCTCAGCAGTATGAACTCAGCTCCTGTCATTGCCACACCTTCTCTGGAGCGGGCAGACCGAGCTGTGAGGACCAAAGACTGCTAGGCATGCAGGACCTTTTGAGGTCCATAGGGAAGGATCTGATTGAGATGGTGCGGCAAAGACAAAGAAAACTAGCAAGAAATGCAACTTCAAGATAAAGCCCATTTCCTTCCTGGTCTAGTTTGACAGGGTAATGATGATGATGTAGCTGTCATGCCCCTGAGTTTTGCACTCAAATTGCATTTAGAACAGAAAGCCAACCATGCCAGGAGTGACTTATGAACAGACAGTTTCATGGGTGAGAGATATATTGCATATTTATTTATTTCTCCTTCAAGGTGAATTTTCTCATTATATCACTTTCCTCTGAATGTCTGCATTATCTACAAATCTTCCCAAAACTTGGTGCTTAAAACAATGGCCTTTTCTGCTTGATTTTTCAAGTGGATTGAAGTTGCCCAGCCTCAGGATGCAGTACTGTTACTTCAGCCTTAGCTGGGATGGAGCCCTCAAGGCTTCTTTACTCCCGGGTCGGATGGATCCCTCAGGTCACAACTTGAAGAATAGCTAAGCTTTTACATGTACTTGGAGTATCAAGCTACTTTTTAAAATGGTAGTTTCATTGCCAGGTGATAAAACAAAAAAGATTCTACTTTGCTTCCTGACTATGTATGGAATGGGTACAGGGTTTTTCCTCCTGTATCTAGGATAAGGTTGTCCATCATTACCTGGAAAAGGAATGTGCCTCTTCCCTTCCTATAAAGCTTTCCCTTCAAGACCTGTGTGAAGAAGATACTGACAACCATGATTATAGACAATCATCTAAACACACTTTCTATTACTTGTAGGTATCTCCGTATAGAAAATAACAAATATAAATGTTTTGGAAGCAAAATATGAAGAAACTAAAAAATCTGGGCATATCAAAGGGTCTCTATGACTACCATTAATTGACTTGCCTTGTCAATGTAGTTTATTAAGTTTGTTCTTTTGTTACAATTGTCCTTTATGTGAACATAGACAAAGCTTACTGAGTCTAGTCGGGCAGGATTCAGTAGAACCGAGTGCTAAATGCACTGAGATGTTCGTATTCTGGTCCTTCTCCCCCACTTCCCAGCCATGTGAAATTAAAAGTTAATTCAGCAATTTCCTTTCTAGTGCCTTATCTATAAGTTGGGGTCTGTGGGTGGTACTTACCCTCACAGGTTTGTGGTGTGAACCCAACAAATTTACTGAGAAAGATAGTTACATAGTTGCTCAGCTCAGAGAAAGTTTACAGTGATTGTTCACTAGGCTAAGTGTGTCTTTGATGCAGAGTATAGCTGTTTGCTATAAATAGCTTTATGTAGAGTCTGCTTCATGTAGAATCCCAGTACTATCCTTATGGATGAAAGTGTTTCATCATATGGATTATGGTCTCACAGTCATCTCATGAAATAAAAGTAATGAGAGTCATGCAATAGAGGCAGAGTTGGCTGACCCCTGCTAAGCAGGAACAGGGCAGCTAGGTAGAGGAAGAGATTCATCATGGGGCCTGGACGGTTAAGAAACTAACCCTAGATGAGGCTATAGAAGGATGATCAGTCAGAGGCCACAAATGACCCCAATCACTGGAACCTAAATGGATCCTTGATTCTCCATGCCTATGTAGATTACATCTAGTGTATTGTGAGAACTGGGACAACAGGAGAGAAAAAAAATTAAAACCATCTGCTGAATTTGTGCCACATGAAAGAGAGAAGTTTTGTGCGAAATGCAGAGATGAAGGGGGATATTTGATGAGACCAGTGCTGTTCAAATGCACAGTGTTCTCAGCAATTAAAGAGTGGGTCTGCTTTCTCTCTCCTTCAAGCAAATTAGTTCTTTGGTAAATGTTACACAGAAGCACATTCCCATGGTTCATATGGCTTAGATGCAGGTTCTGTAGATACAAAACAAAGACACATTGAATTTTGCAAGATAGATTTTCATGGTTAGACCCTGTATAGCAAATTCCATGTGCTTAACCTGTCTATCCCTGCATTGCCTGTCATAATACTTTTTAAAAGGACATTTAGAGAGTTTTTTCTCTGGAAACAGGTAATTTGCTCCCACCTTGGTTAGCTGAGTGGCTTGAGACAGGCTCTGAGTTTGTGTTGGTTAGGAACAATCCTTCCCTTGGGCATTCTAAAAGATCCCAGTGTCAGAGAAGGGACAGGTACTTGATTAGGTGACAACTGTAATTGAGTTAGACATGCTCACAGTCATGAGTGTAAGGGACAAAGAAGAACACCTCTGTGTGAATTTAGTGACATTAGAAAGTGTGGAGTCCTGTCTCAGCAGGTTTCAGGGCCTGAGATGGGGAAGGTGCATTGGGGAACAAAGAAGTCTAACTACCAGATGCGCTTCACAGAAGTAACAAACAGCTCCAAATACCTTGAACCATCTTTTATTTATACTTCAAAAACAAACATAGTTTTTCCCACCCTCCAGAGTTAACCTCAGGCAAAACAAGCATGTTTTTCCCATCTTTTAAATCAAAGCAACTTTTAAATCAAAAACATCAGTGCTCAGCGTTTTGCTAGCTTGTCTAAATATCAAACCAGACATATCCTGTCCTTACAAAGCTAAAAGGTGATAGACAGGCCCACATTCACAAGAACAGTGATATCATTCAAAGTTGGCAAAGCATATTTACAGAAATAAGCCGGGGGGAGATCTGCCCCAAGCTGCTTTCATATAGTTCGCTTTTACTTCTCTGAGTGTCCTCTTGCCCTCCAAGGGTCCTCCTTGACTCAGCCTCTCTATAAAGGCACACTTTTTCCATTGTGTGATACCATTCTTAATGTTTTCTTCTAGAGCTGGCAGACATAGTTATGTCCCTGTGTTGCTTTCTTATATGAGCCCACGAACTCTTATTGCCTCTAATACTGTCAGCACTAAATCAGAAAAGTTCCCAGGGTCTGGAGTAGCAGCTTGTGTTTCCAGATAAGAACGTGAGAAGCATCAGTTCCCAGAGAATTTTCGGGGAAAATATTTGAGAAAAAAATGGGTTTTCTGCGGATGGTTACATTTGTCCCATGTATGACTGACAAAGTGAAGCCAAAAAACCACCAAGAGTATCACCGACGTTATGAGAGAGAAGAGAACATGCAGGTCATGCTGTCCCAGCAGTAGTTTGCACTGTCCCAAGATCCTCTTGTCTTTGCCTAATGAGAGACCATCTCCACAGGTTTTGCCTTGCAGAGACCGGCTGCACAAACATTCATATGCTGATCTGAAACTAGGCCACATGGCTCCCAACAGGAAAGTTTGATTTTTTCCATTAGGGTCTTGATTATCACCAGAATAGGAGATTAGAGATTACAGGTGATTGTCTAGGGCATCCCTCGACCGCTGTAAAACCTAAAAGAGAATAAAGACTCAGCATGCTATGTCTCTGTTCTACTTTTGAGCAGTTAAAACTGGGAAATTACTAGATGAAAAGAGCTGGCTAT